CTAAAGTAAGAGGAATGAATCCAGACTAAATCTTTTTTCTCTGCTGGATCACTGATTCAGTGGTGTAGGTTTGATTTTTGTCAGGCATGCTGGTGACATACAAGCAGCAGCAAAAAGCCACTAATGAGCATGGTATACTCCTTTGCTCCCTCAAATAGCTAGATTAACTGTGTGTTTTCATATATCCTGGAATGTGGTCAATAGCAAACCAGGGAGCAGGCTGATATTTAGCAAAACACTTCAGCAGCTTACACAGGAATATTATGTAGCAAGTTCTGAAGTGCTTTTCTGCTGTTTCCCATCCAAGTGATTTTTCACGGTGCATTTGGTAAGGAGTTATTAACTGCAAACAGATTTAAGTGCTGAGGACTCCCTAGATCTAAACCGATGCTTGTCATTCAAACGCCCCAACATGAATCAAGCACAAATGTGAATGTTCACAGCCAGTGCAGTTCGTTTGGTAACAAGCATGCATTTAGCATTACACAAAACACAGCCGTCTACTCCTTGACAGTCGTTGCTTGTCCTGGTATTTTGAGGGAGAAGGAGGAGGACATTTATCCTTGATGGTGAACTTTAAAAGTATATTTTCTTTTAAAATGTCAACCTATTCCTTTTCCATGTGTGTTTCAAAAATGTCTCTGACACTTTGGCTCGATACCCAGGTATTCCAGCTGTTATTCTAAGATGGTGGAAATTAAAGTTCTGTTGACTTCACTGGAGCTTTGCCAGTTTTCCTCAGAGGAAGATTTGGTTTCAGAATATTTTGTGGAACCTAGACCTGACACATGCACTGCTGGCACTGTGGGTGCTGGGTAGTAGCTGTATTGATGCCAGCAGCTGGAGTGATTAGGGAAGGGGAATTCGACTGCGTAGCAAGGGTTGTGGTTCCCACCTTTGATCTCATATGGAAATGAAAAGTTCAAACTGTCTTCTGCAAAGGTGGAACTGTGTCAGACTGTCCTTTTCTAACCAACAATGATGTGCTAAAGGGGTGGGAGTGCCATCCCGACTCCAAGTAGACTCGTACAGCCCTGATCACTCTGAGCCCAGCAGGGCAGAGGTTTGAACCTTGACCTCCTGAATTACCTGTTGGTGCCATAGTCTCAGGTCACCACAGCCTGAAAGCATCTCTCTCACACAGCACAGACCTAAAAAAATACTTTGACTTAGTCTTAGGAAAATTGAAGTGCTGTTTTTTTCACACTCAGAGAGGGAGTCAGTGCCCAAAACCTTCCCTGCTTTTTCCATCTGTATCATATCTCATATTACAAGTTACTGTGTCTCCTTCAAAATTTTCTATCCTTTAACGCCTCTAGTAGTACTACCACCAAAAATACCCCCAACCTATTCCCAGTTGTTCCAGCAAGCACAAAGCAACAGAACTAATGCAGGTTTCATGTGCACAAGAACCTGGGCATGTAAGTAATGAATCCATTTGTAAGGGTACCTGCTGAACTCTGTGAATAAGTAGTTCCCAATCCTGACTTTATTTAGTTTTCTCTGTGCATAAACCTGCTGCAGACACTGAAGTTAACGGTAGATCTCCCATGCATTTCAGTCTGTGCAGGTTGGGGACCTCATATATTAAGGGCTTATCATTGCAAATTTGCTGAAAGCACCAAACCCTCACAGCTCATGTGTGCCCCATCCGCAGTCCTGCAGAGACATCATAATGCCATGTTTGATAGCAGAGTCATTCCCATGGCAACAAATGGAGTCAGAAATACAAGACTCCAACCTTGCTGTGTGATCAAACAAAACAGAGAAACTGGGCAGCAAAGACAGAAGTTCATGAAACACAAATGCCTATAAACTCAGCAAGCAGGTAGGAGAGAAGCAGCAGATAAAGACAAAATATTTCTCCTTCTCTGAAGTTCTGCCCCCAGGCAAATGTCCCTCCACAGATTTTTCTAATGCTAGGATCTGCTATGGTTAGCCTGAGTATCTTACCCTGCAGAAAGCTCCAAGGAGAGCAAAAAATATCTTGTTAATAAAGCCATTTCACATTAATTCTTTCTGGAGAATGAGCTTTCAAAAGCAATACTATTTACAGCTCCTTCCAGTAGATCTAAACCCAAGGCACTTACTTAATAAATAACACTTCAATCTCATCCCATTCCTTAGAGTTGCATAAATAGTCTTTGCTTTAGAGATCAGGGCAGAGTTAGTGATCTGCTCTGAATCAAATGCTGGATTGGTAAAAGAATTGGGGTAGGAACAACATGAGTAGGTAATTGGCACCGTGGTCATCGTAGGAAGCCAGTGACAAACCTGAGCGACCATAAGACCCCTGCTCCCTGGGCTGTGACAGGAACAGAGATGAGGCACAGCTAGAAAAGCCCACTATTTCCCACCAGTTTATAGGCAGAAGGAGATAACTGGGAAGACAGGTGTTGCAGCTGGTCTGGTAATGAAAGAATAGTTTCAGATTGAAGTAGCTTTCAAAACCAATGCTAAAGGATTGACAGCTGTAGAGCAAAAGTTTTAGGTGCTGCTAGGAAGACTGGTAGTCCTTCTCACAATTGTCAGTGAGAGGTGGACTTCTAATTCCCAGTTTGAGTTTGTGAGAACATTTTTGAGACTTCCAGCCATAATGAACTATTGAACAGTCGCAGGATCCTACCTTTAACAACATCAGCATTAAGTCTTCTTATGTCTTAGTGGTAGCAGAAGGAGCATGGTTTGAACTGTCCCAAGGCAGAGGTGAGACTGATCTTATCTTCCATCAACAGAACTACACCTATTAATGCATACAAACAAACTTGTCCATGGCTTCTGGAACCTGGAAAGGGCCTTCTTCCTTATAGATGGGACACTATAATAAATGTATTTGTCATATTGCTGCATATTATGGATGCAATGGATAATTAAGAATGAGAAATGGTCAATGAAAACAAGCTGTCAGTGACAGCCCATTGGTTTATACTGATTACACCAAGGAGTGGCTGTTTCATGGCATTACAGAGACAAGCCCAGAAAGCTCTGACCAAGAGCTGTGGCTGTTGCCCTTACGCATAACAGTTTTAGCATTGACTATGAACACAGAAGCCCTGCAGGTTTTGTTCAGCCTATAGGCTGATGAAATCCAGGGGAGATGAAGGATTTCAGGTCTGGACTCCAGGACTAAAGAAAGGAAAGTCCTGTTAGTACAGCTGCTTACGCCTGGTACTTTGACTAGTGTTTGAGAACAGATCACAGTGGGAGCAGATGACTCCTGTGATGCAGCCAGGTTGGTGAAGCTTTGATTTTGTGGATAAATGCTAGCTGTACCCAGGGAAGTTGCCCAACAGTGCTTAAAGTCTGTCCCACTTACACCCTGACCAGTACTCATTGCCCACTAACTACTGACAGTTCCAGTGTCCAGGGACCTGAGTTTTCATTGGCCTCAGTGAGCAAGTTATAACTCAGATACTGTGGGCCAGAAATGACAGAGCAAGCAGCTGTTGCTCTGCTGCCTCTACATCTGCCTGACACAATAATTAAATCTCATCAGCGATTCAATATAATGGAAGCAAACCAACTACAACAGAAGAAGGATTTCATAGCACAACTGTCTTATGATCTCTTAACTGCAGCTATGTATTTGCCTTCATAATTAATTCTGTAAGCGTATAGAGCTACAAGAGACTGAGAAATTTAGAAAGCAGTGGAAGAGATCCTTAAAAAGTAGCAAAAGGTGTAAGTAATTTCCTCTACCATCATTCTGCTTCTTATCTTCTCTGCTGGTGTTTCCCATGGACTACTCATGGCAGTGCTGTAGTGGGACAAAGGCATTGCCTGTTAAGTCAAGCATCCAGTAGAGGTCAGAAGCCCTGATTTTGCTGCAGCACTGAGATCACCTGTGGCTTGAACACAACAAATTAACTTCCTCTTGTGGAAAATGTGGGTCTCGCTTCAGTGGCTGTTCTGCATTGATATTTGTGATGTACGTTGGTACCTAATGTTGTAGCCACATTAAGTGTTATTTCTAAGTATAAATCCACGTTAGATGAAATTAATGGGTTATTGACCCCTCTTTTTCAGGACTCACTTACAGATAGTTGACTTGGCCTTTTTTTTTTTTTTTTGTGAAACATGCATAGTTCAGCTCATTGGCAGGAGATATCCAGGAATCTTGCCAGTGGAAATCTTACTTCTTAATTGATCTTTTCTGAATTCTTTAGCCCCAAATATGTTCTCTCCTGGTCATACTAATCCATATTAAATTCATGAGGTTAACTGAGCAACTCTAGATTTGCACCAGCATAAAGAAAAGTGTGATGGGACTTATTGTGTGTCCCTCCCATCGCTGCTCAGCAATAAATGTGACTTTAATATCTTCTTCACTGTCAGTGTTGTGTTTTCTCTCATTCTCTTGCATCACGTGAAAGTCTAAGATGGGCCTGGTAAAGTGTAAGAGGTATTGAGGCAGGCTGCACTGCAGGGCCTTTTTTCTGACCTCCAGCCTCATGGACCCCAGAGTCAGGATCCAAAGAGTACATTGCAGCTGGGAAGATGACTGTGAGCTGGATGAGCTGCAAACGAAGCTCCTTTCTGCTGATGGAGAGCAGAAGGCTGGGTCCTCTCTTGCAGGCATCAGCTCTCTCATTTTACTGACAGGAGAGTTACTAACGCAGACCTTCTGTGCTGAATGCTGTCTGTGAGGAGACCAGTTGGCAGCTTTGGCGTGAGCATTTGTAACCACCACTTTGTAATTGGAAAATGGACTCGGAGGCGATTGGTTTCTTCTGCTACAAAGTCAGCAGTGTTTTCCTGCTAGAAGACAACAGTTTGCAGCAGAGAATTCTTTAAGAGAGTGAAATATTCTCCTAAAGGAAACGATTTAAGCACCAGCTTCAGTCAGCTGCAGCATACCAAGCACCCAGGCTGGATCCCAGGGCACGCTGTGCTCTGGACAAGTTGGGTTGTTCTGCCCAAACCTGGCAGTTTGATGTATTTGAAATGCACCTCCCCAGGTCTTTATTTTTCTGAGTTGCTCTTTGGTTTGTGTCTTTCAGAAGCGCTCTGGAGGCATTTGCTCATTCCTGCATCGGGTGTGCTGGGCAGCACTGCCGCTGCAACTGCTCCTCTTGCTCCTCCTGCTCCTGGCCTTCCTCCTGCCCCTGGCAGAGGAGACCCACAGCTGCACGCTGGCCAACAACTTTGCTCGGTCCTTCAACCTGATGCTGAGATATGACGGCCCACCTCCCACCTAACTTCTTGGCATGGCATGAGGTGACTCTCAGAAATATAGACTCTTCTGGTTTTTTAACAATTTCAAGTATTGTAAATTTTAGGGCTTCTAACAAGGCCATCGAATCAACTGGATAGGTCACATAAATGCAACATAAGATTAGTCCACTTTAATCAGGTTTTTGAGCAAATTTAATATTTTTACAGTATTTTATTATAATATTTATAATGTATATATAGAGATTGTGTATGTGTATGTATGTACAGAGATAAATATATATATATATATATATATAAAAAAAAGCATACCTGTGGTCAAACTAACATCTGCCATCCACTCATCCACTGTTTGGAGATAATCCTGCAATATTTCTGTTTCTGCCATCTTTCAGCAAGAAATACTGAATGTTGGTTTCATTGTGGGGCTTTTGGGTGATTTTTAAATTAAATTTTTGTTGTCTACAACCAAAGCCAGACCAAGTATGAGAAGATGCGGGCATGCAGCAGAGTGCAAATTGGAGAGCAGGTAGAGTAGAGTCATGTTTGAATACAGTGGTTGACATTCAGCCCAAGGAAAATTGGGACTATTCTATTTGGAATCTTGAGCTCTTTTTTTCAGTATCTGGATGCAGGGATTGCAGAAGGTAATGGAAATGTTTCCACTGACTTCAGTATGAGTGGGGGTGGACCTCTTCTTGTTCTCATTTTTTACCAGATTTCTTTTCCAGTTACTGTGTTCTCCAGCCCACCTGAATCAGGAGAGGTAGAATACAGTAGGAAGAAAGCTGGGAATAGAATATATATTTTTTTAACATCTCTATAACAGGAGAACTTTTAAAATCAGGTCATAATTTTCTGAACAAGTTTGTGAGCACTGAACAAAACCTAATATCAGTGGTCTTGCCTTTAAAAAGCAGTGGGGTTTTTTGTTTGTGTTTTTTTTGTGGGTTTGGGGTTTTTTTTTACTTTATAAAAAGGCATTTGGTGATGGATCATAAAGCCTGAACAGTGGGATGCAGCCTGGCTCAGTGTCAGCAAAGCAAAAGTTGAAGTATTTTAATAATACCACCCTGGAAACAAGATTCCTTCCTAGGATGTTTTTATATTAATGGTTTGTTGAACTGATGTAAACCGATTGTATCAAAGACAGTCAAGCATAGATTTCTATATAGTCTAAACTCTTAAGATGATGACAACTTGTCATTTATTTACCTAACCTTATGTCTGAATGTACATTTTAACATTGCCTTTTAATGTAAAAGCAATTCTCACTTTACTGTGATGAAACCATTCTTAGTGGTGTTTTACCTAACTGACTCCTGAGAGAAAAGGTAATTTCTAAAATTTTGTGCCATTTCTGAGAGCTATTCCTTATTGTCTCGTGTTTTTAGCCACAGTAGTGATCATGCAAAAAAAAAAATTAACAGAAGAAACAGTTACTTTTCCCATCCTGGCTATGTTGCAGGAGGAACTTGTCTTCTGGGTATCAGTATGGTGTATTCAGTGTTGTTTTCCAAATAAGTTGCAAAAGAATATTAAATCTGTTGTACATTATGTAAATTATGTAGTAGCTGAGGGACTGAAGAAGGAAGTCATACTTCTTTAACAAAACCATGAAAGTTTTGCTAAAGAAGCAAACTTGGGTAGAGTAGGGAGGTATCGCAGCAAGGAGCTCATTATAGGCACAAAATGAGGGAGAACAGGCAGATGTGAAAGAGGACTAGCTAAAAATAGGGAAGAGAGGTGTCCCAACAATTCATAAAGCCTAAGAAAATGAGTCACGATGAACACAGAGGACAATAATACAGGCTTTATGCAGGAAAAATCTCTGAATCTTTTTAGTTCCCTCTCCCTGCTACAGTATTGGTACTATTGCATATTAAACAGCATATCTTCAGTAAGGTTTAAAATGGGGCAAGTAACATGGACTCTTACTAGTGTTCTGAGGAGACGCTTCTACCACCAGGACTCTGTCACTGTGTTCCTAATAATGCTTCCGACTACACTGGGTTTGGTAGAGTTGGACAAAAATGCCAAAATTCTGCTGAAAGTAAAAAGGAGACTGGAAATTAGAGGAGAGAGAGCAGGGATGGTGAAGGTATTCAGGTAGAATGCAAGGGGAGCATGAGGAGGAGCTGAACTGATGCAGATGAAAACCTGACTGTCAGGAGGTAGCAGAAGAAGTCTAGAGAGCAGGCAGAGGGGGGCTGAAAGCAGAAAGGTGAGGAGAGAGGATGGATGTACACTGAGTGATAAGACATACACATCTAAACAGGAAGCAAAGGAAGGCCTGTGATTTCTTTCATGAAGGAGCCAGATGGAGAGGAGCTATAATTTGTCAGAGAATGGGGCAAATTAATTCCTTCTTTGCAATTAATTCCTTCTTTCTGGTGGCAGAGGACATACCTCCTTCTCACCTCTGATTAGCTGTGTGAGAGCCATGCATGTTCCCACAGTGTTCCTCTAAAAATTGCTGCCAGCCTTGAGGGAAGAAACCCCTGTGGCTGTGCAAGGAGCTACTCATCACACACATCTCCATTTCAAATTAAATGCTCCAGTAGAAAAGAAGTGTGGGGGAAGAGGGGCAGTAACAAAACCTGCTGTATGTGGTTGTGGATATGTGTACTTCTGCACACACTTTTCTTTGATGTAGCTACATTGCAGTTCTCTGGGTTTTGCTGAGCTGTTCCAGGTGATGAAAATAAAATGCCAGTGAGAAAGTAAAAATAATGATGAATAATATGGCCGCAAGTGAAAATCAGTAGGGAGATAGACAAGTTTTTTCTATCAAAGCACAAAATCTCACATCAGATTTCTTTCTGCCCAGCCTTTCTGATCTGGATGATTTTTATGGGTTCACAAATACATTTGACACCACAGGAGTATGCAACTGGGGGAAAAAATTTCTACACAGAGGACCATAACAGAACAACTGCATCGTCACCTTGATGGCAGGTTTTAAAAAAAAAAAACAAACCAAAACTAAATTAGAAACACGCTTTTGCTGCTAGGCTTGCATTCAATTTATTCTGTAAGTCTCCGGTCTGTAATCTTGGAATTTTTTGCTTTAAATCTCAGCAAATCCATTCTCATTAATTTAAGTAATTTAAATATCTCACTTAAGTGATGAATCTTTCTACTTCTTTGCAATGGAAACTGTCCAAATCACAGGACTTCGATGATCATCTCACTCAGAACAATTTCACTCTTCTATAATGTCACTGACCTCACCTGTCCAACTTAGATGTGAGATTTTTTCAAAGAAAGAACGAATTTTTAAAAAATCACAGAAGTAAGCTTGAAATGTAGATCCAAAATTTACTTTCTATTTTATTCTCTTGGTTTTCTTCTGAGAAGTTTGTGATACTGATTTCTGGAAGTGTGTGTAAATATTAAGTCAGTAATTGGATAATGAGAAGAAACTGGCCAGTTCAATTTCCAGGAAACTGAACAAAGCTCAGATTCCTCAAAACACAAACTAAATCATACTGTTTCCAAGTCAGTCCTTAAAATTTGAGCACTGTTCTTCATGCTTGAATCTTTGCTCACACATGATTTGGGGGTTACACCCTCACTTTTGTGCCTATAAAATCCCCAGCTCATGGATCTCTGACATCCATACATAACCGAGATGTGTTACAGCTCAGCTTTGGATTGGGGCTGCTGCCTTAAGACATCCCTTGCCAAAAACCTAGGATGCACAAAGCAGATAAGCATCCACAACTGAGGGCTTGCAGGACTTTAATCCAGATCCAGCCACTGTCAGAGGGTGCTAAAACCCTCTAAAATAGATTGAATATGTTTGAGCTTGTAAATTGTGCATCTGGCTCAGGCCACGTAGTCTCTACTGCATGCAGATAACCACCCTGTTCACAGAGCAGAGCTCTTGTGCATCTCTCCAAGCTCTTTTGCCTGCAACTATTGGACCCAGTATTTGATTGACCACATTAATGACCCTTCAGTGTTGAAGGCAAAATCCTGCACTCCAGTGCCCATGCATTAAAGTAAGAAGTCTGCACAGCCCCAAAGGCACACTTCAAACCCAGCCTTTGGAGTGAAAGCAAGCCTAATTTATAAATTGTAATTGATTTTGTAGCCAGATGCTTTCAACAGAATTTTCCATGACTGCAATACAGTGAGGTAGAAAATTGCTATTGTACCACATGTCTATTAATAGCCCTTTCTCTGATTCCAGCTAGCAATTCAGATTGTATTAAATGTTATTTATATATGCCCTCTCCAGAAATCTCTGTATGAAAAACATGTTCAGTTCTATGCACACACATTAAAAATACTGTATTCCCCTGTTAGCACAGAATCCCCAGAGCAATCATGATTTCTACCAAGTACTAGCTTATTTGCCCTGAGATGCTTATTAAATTCAAACATTTGGGGCTGAAAAGAAAGCTACTAGCCTAACTAATAGAAGCACCTGATGATCACTGAATAACTTGGAGAGCTTTTAGAATGGCTTTCTGCTTCTCCTTAATCCTATTCACTGGGGTAGTCAAAGACCTCAGAGAGAAGAAATGTCTCCAAAAAATGGCCATCACTAGATGGGCAGATGGTAATCTCTGCATGTCGGAAAAAATAGTATGTTCTCTTTAGTTGCTCTAGGACCTCAGGAGTTTCCTCCATCTGATCTCTTCTTCAGTATTGAATAGGAAATGTTTTCCTTTGATGTGTGTGCATACACATCTCATTAGCACTGAAGAGATTTGAAGAGTGAGTTCGTGTACAGGAATTCTTCTAAATTGTGTTGACAAGAGAGTACATTGTCTTCTTTTCTCAAGAAAAAAAACAAACGCTGTATGGCAGAGATTCTCGGAACAAACAAAACCTTTTGGACTAACTGAAGATTACAGACTGAAATTAATCTGGAGAAACAGTTTTGCCTTTCAAGAAATGCTAGTGTAAATACCCCAATAAACCTATCTTTGCCAGGCACCGTAGGTGTCTTTCAGGTCATAGGTTATGTACCCAGGTGGCTGTAAGAACTCCTTTTGGAGACTTTACTGTCCGTTGGACAGTATCAGTTGCTAGTCTGCAGCTGAAAACACATTTGCCCAATGAACTATATTAGCTGCTTCTAGAGTCGCTGGAGGCTGTCAAGGATATTCTTAGTAGTTCTCAGATCATTGACCTGCTCCGAGCCATTACAAGTTTATTGTATTAATTTATCTGTCAGCAGTTGGCCACTCTCAGAAAACAGTTGATTAAAATACTGAAGATAACATTGTTGGTATGGACGTCACGATTCATTCAGAAACCAATCTTATTATTTTTGCCATATTTAAACATAATTATCTGTTGGTTATACTGTGTTATAAACAGATCAGTTGTAGGTGTTGGGTAACTGTGTGGAATGTTTTAGGCACAAGCATTTTTGACTTGCACGTGTATGTTTAAGAATTGTGGGCTTATTTCATGCTTGCTTAATGGTAAAACAAAACAAAACAAAAGATTCTTGAATGTAGCATTTTCCCCCAAAAAATACAAAGCAGGATGGAATAATCTGTCATACAGTTGATTTTTTTATTATCTCTTGTCTATCCAATTTAAAATACGGATATGTGTCTACCAGAGAGATATCAGTTGATCTGGAAAGAAAAGGAATATCTATTAGGAATATACCAATTCAAGCAGTAGCCTAAATGGCACCTTTGTAACCTAACCTACTTCAGCAATTGCCAGATTTAGCTCACTGTATCTGTGAGCTAACCACCCTCCTCCTAGTAAACCGTGGGTGAGATGAAAGTGCACAGGTGAGGGTACAACATCCCAGTGGAAGCAGCAGGAGACATTAGGTCTTCAAAAGGCAGCCTGGTATCTCGATGCAAGAGATGAACATGTAGGTTTGGCATAATGAGAGCAACCCAGGACTAATAACACAGGAGCAAGGATTTGCTGACCTGCTCTGCCAGTCAGAATTTTGACAGTGGCTGTCAGCACTGTCCAGTTTCACGTCCCTGACTGTGGAAGGAGGCTCCCCTCAGGGTAGTTCACTCTAGCTGAGATCTGAGTCTTGGGAGTGCTTTTTTCTTTTCATTAAATCCAGAAGAAACTGCTAAATCAACCCCCTCAGTGACAGTTTAATGGTAGGTGGTAGGCGCTGATGCTCCAGGAAAAGATGCAGGAAATGCTGTTGTAGATAGAAAGATTGTCATGAAGGTCTCTGTTCAATCCTTAGGAATTAGAGATTCATTACAGAACTGAAGTAGGAGGCTTTCTGTTCCTTTGCAAGTAAATGCCAGCTGTTGCCTTTAGTCTTCTGGATTTTGGGGGCGAGCCTGTTCAGTGCCTTACTGAATGCTAGTGGCTTTCTGGCTTCAGAGCCATTCATGACAGTGAGTTCCACATCCTTCCTGCGAGTTGTGTGAAAAAGGTATTCCCCAGAATTGGTTTTGAAGCAGAAACCTTTTGTTTGGGGGGTGGGGGTTGTTTGATTTTCCTTCTTTGGCCCCTGTGTGTGGATTCCAAGAAAGCAGAAAGACTAGCACTACCCTCTCCAGACCATACTTTGTCTTTCCTTCTTTTCTCAGAGCAGAGGAGATTGGGCTTTGTCTCCTTCCTAAAGTAAATTATCCCAGTCTTTTCTGCTTCTTTTCATGTTCCAGTTCTTCCATGCCCTTGATCATTCCTGTCGCCTTTCTTTCAACTTTTTCAGTGCCAGTTCTTCCTCCATATGTAGAGCAAAAAATCTGCTCCTGTTTCAATAAATTGAAATTCAATAAATTTTTGCCCTGTTGCAGCTCCTCCTGCAGATGCTCTGCCTGTTTCTGCTGCCCCCTGTGTCAAAACAGCCTTCATCACTGTCTGAGGGGACTCTGGTCCTTGCCAGCTGTCTCTTCCAAGTCTCCTGGCCATGTCCTACCCTCATGCGCCTTGTGTTGGCTCAGGGACTGCCCTTAATATTCACATCTGCAGATGGGAGTGCGAGGGTGTCGCTTAACAGACAATTATTAATAATGAAAGCCTTGCCGTTAGCATTGTTCATAGCCTGCCCAGACCCTTTTCTCTTCTTCTCTCTAAGCAGGTTTTGCTGTGTAATCCAATTACTGCGTGCAGAAAATTGCCCCTTAATCAGGGAGGAGGGCCGGTGTTTCAGTTTCAGCTCTATTATCCTGGTGTTGTCACTGCCTGTGTAAGCACTCCCATGTGCTGCTGGGCCTGGGGCTGGACGCTCCGGGGTGCGTGCCCTTGAGCTGCCGGGAGTGTTTGAATGTCGCTGTTATACACCCTAATAAGCCAGGGCCCTTTTTTTTGAGCTGGAAAAAAAAAAGAAAGAAAAAGAAAATGGTTGCTTTTAACAAACTGATTTCACAACTCATTTATCAAGCCCTATAGCAAACCATTTATTTTAGCTCCTTTTTGCTCCATCAAAAGCTGTATGTTAAAAGGGAGAGGTGAATTTCAAGAGGCTGGGGACTGAAGGCAGGCTGCAGTGCCACCCGCCCTCACCAGCACTTTGCCGGGAGGCCTCCAGCTAGAATTCAGGGGTCGGACCTGTTATTTTTCCTAAATGACTCCCGCCTTCAAAATCAAATTATTTCTTTTGTCAAGTCCAATAAGCACTGAACACCACAGACTTGGTTTCACTACAGATATGAATAAACACCTCTGTACGGTACTTTCCATCGCCATGAAATATATATATATGTATAAATATATGTACATATATATATGTAATAGGGAGTGTAATTATTGTTCTACTTAAAGAAAAGTGACATTCCACTTCAATGTAACTTTCACGTGCAGCTTTTAAGAGAAACTGTGTCTTAAAAGGAAGCTGGAAGAGTTTAGAGGTATGTGTTTTAATGAGCTTTAATGAGCTTTAATAAGCTTTGAGTTAGGACTTCAGTCTCCAAGGCAAAAAGCACCCATGATGATTTTCCCATCACCTTCCCAGATCAGAGCCTGTAAGAGTTTAACCCAGGAGTCACTCCTTGAGCACTGACTATTCCCAAAGGTATTTGGATGCTGCATGTACTAGCTGTGTGTCTGTCCTCAAACACCAACCTCCATTTTGTACATGTGCTTGACTGGAAGGCAAAAGACACACTTTTGTCTTGCTCCAAGACCCTGATGATCATTTTTGTCTCAGCGGATGTATTCCTTTTGATCAGCGTCACTCTTTCCATTTTTTTCCCCTTTTAATTTGCACTAATTGAGTTTATCAGGTGATTCCAGGAGGGCACCCTCCACCTGCCTAGCCTCAGAGCTTCCCTTCCAGCAACATACCTTCTTCTCATTTGTTTATTTGGGTGTACTGGACCACTGTGAAGCAATTACACAAGCAATAACAACGGGTGTTGCATTTTGCTGTCATTGCCTTTTGTAAGACGTAACACTCCATTGACATTGAAAAGTGGTAGGAGACCCAGAAGCTGCATTGTTGTTTACTAGCAATATAACCGATGTACAGTGCTTCTACAGGGGACCTGTCCTCACTCCTCACAGCAGCTGGCTGTCTCGGGCCCAATTTAATTCACAAGGCTGGATTATAAACAGTCTTGGATCCCTTCACCAACACTCCATCAATCTTGCTCCCATCAGTTTTTGTGCTTTTGTTTAGTTTCAAGCTAGAAGAAAGTTTAAAGAAATGTGCTAAGGCTCCTGTATAGGGTGAGTAAATGTCCCAAACAGTTCACAAAGATTACAACAAAATGAAGGGATTTACTCTCACATTGAACAGAATTAATAAGAAGTTCTTATCGATGTATTAAAAAGTTATTAAGAGCAGCCTGGAGTGAAGTTTCTGCAATCAAACCATTCTCTGCTTTTAATTTAAAAATCAGCAAATATTGAAGTACATGTTGCTACCTTCTTTTAGAAGTGACCTGGAACTAAAATGTGAATCCTCCCAAATGGGAGGTTTATTGATGCGGATCTAAATTTCACCAGAGTGTCCCATGTTAGATCACCCGCCTCTGGGCAGAGAGGAAACCTAAGGCTGTTCACAAGAGAAACTCATATTGTGAACAGTTTTAAAATTCTTCAGAGCTCCTATCCACTTCCAAATGTCAGTAATAGGGAGGATCAGAAACTTTCCCATGAACCCTATGCATTTTGCATGTTGAAATCCTGGCTTGAATTCGGGTCTCCACCTCAGCTTCTTGTAAATGTTAATATTCAAGTAGAACAAAAATGTTAGAGGCAATTACAGCATGAACATCTCTTCTTGTTTATGTATAGTAGCTGATAGCAGAGTCTGTAATAATAATCTGTGTTTATACATGTGCCGTCCAATGTAACAGTTGGGTACCAAATACCTTTTAACTGTCACAAGAAAATAACTGGATTGATGTCACTTTTTGCTTGTATGAATATGATTATTTGCCTTGCAGGGACCAGTTCCACTTTTGTCATGTTATTTATGACTTTTAAATACATTTGTGATAAATTAGGCTCGTTTCTAAAGTAAACAATACTGGAGCCAAGCAGCTGTCTCTGTACATGTGCATGTTATCACAGCTGATATCAAGTCCAAGTCAGACTCCTTGTCTTGCTTGGACCTTTCCTTAACCTTTGTGGCTTATTCAGGGAAATGCGGACCAGTCTATTTTCTTATTAAAAATACAGCTTTTTGAAAAGCTGAACTTATTTTTTAAATCCTTTCTTTTTACAATTATTGATTCAGAAAGACTGTAACAATCGTATTTTTCTAAACTGCCAATTGCTTGTGTTAGGAAATGATATATAGATATATATTTTATTCTACAGATTTCCATGTAGTTTTGAAACTCTTTGTTTTCATATATATCCTCCTCTTTGCTAGAGTTATCTCAAAAAAGCTGTAAGCTTCTGTATACTGACTCTATGAAATTGTATAAAAATGCAGCTGCATAAAAAGACTGACTTTATTTTTTATTTAAATTGTTAGAGCTAAGTCATCCTTACTGTTATGCCGTGCAAGATGTATGGAAAGAAATCAGGTCATTTTTTCGAAAGGCTGGACAGCGTTATGTGACACTTCCTAAAAAGTCTCGACTGAAAGTCAGGAGAATTTACCCTAGAAATTATGCCATTTTGGTGCCTGATTCTATAGTTTTTTCACACTGTTTAGGACCTTATTTCACAAATACTCCCATGAAATTTCATGGGTAATATTAAAAATAAGAGCCTATGATGTGTGAATAGCAGTGATAGAACAAGACCCTTTTCTAATGAAGAACAAGGCCTTTTAACTAGTTAAGAGGCTATATTTTTAGAGTTTCAGGACAATTTTTTGTGTTCTTTTCTGCGCTGTGATGTCCTCCCATGTATTCTGGATTTATTCCATAGCTGAAATGCCAGATTAAATCGATTGAAGCCCCATGCGCAGATGAACATAATAGAAAGCTGCAGTGAAATATTGCAGAAAATGGCCTGATTTCATTCTTCAGAACAATAAAGTAGCTCACAGCCTTGGCTTCTGTGCACCTGTGAAGCAGAGGCCCTTGCTTTGTACCTTGGTGTAACATGGAAGGATTTCTGCTCTCTGCCTGGAAAATACTGTCTATTCCTCAACCTTGTCAGAAGCATAATATTTTCTCAAGTAAAAAAAATCTGATTCTGCAAGACTCATTGGGGAGTTAAGGGGCAGCTGGGACCTTCTGTGATCAAGCCACATTATTCCAAAAGTTTATCCCTCGATGACAAATAAAATATGATGTGGCTTTGCTGTTTGCAAGTAGGATAAAGAGACTGGAAATTCATCACCCCAAGCCCTAGCCTTGTGACTGTTCTGTGATGCTCCACTGTTACCAATGGACTATGTTGAATCAGATTATAAAATCAGAGTATTTTGTTGCATGTGTCCTTTTTTGTAACGAAAATATAGTTATATTTGATGTTGCAGTTATAAGGCAGTAAATAAACACATAAGTATTTCTTTTTAAGGACTTTTAAATTATTCTGGGGGGTGGTTTCACATTTTTGCTGTGCTTATTTCTTACCATCCGAGTATTTGGGCTGACCTAGAAACACCCAGAACAAGTGAAGCAAGGATAAAATTTTCTGCTGCCTGCCTCTCTGCTCATGTACCACTGAAAGAAGGTTGTGCTGAATGTACCTACTTCACTCTAGCCCTGTAAGATTTAATAGAAAATGTCAGCTTTTCTGTAAGACTGTGCAGTTGTTTGAATAGAATTCTACCAGACCCAAAGAAAACGTGAATTTGCTAAATCATATTACTATTCAGTACGATTTCTTACGGTGTTGGCCTCTGACACTCTCTGTAGGGTTTCCCTCAATCCGAACCAAGCTAAGACAAAGGGGAATTTTTTGAGAACCTCAGATTTGAAGTTAACTCCAATCACATGTAGTGAGCGAGCAGTGTATTAGTTCAACCACTGCTGATTTCTTTGAAGAGTAATCGCTGCAGCATGTATGTGCACAGCTCTCATTAGCATCCACATAATTGCTGGTTTCTTTCCTGAATCTTTATGAGAGAGAGTCTGCCAGGATCTCTGACATCAAAGGACTCCACAGGAAGTTTACTTCTGTAGGAGTGGAAAACCACTACGATTTTTTGGTGAACCTGTGGGCTAGGTTCCCTGTTGCTTTTATGAACACACTGAGCTCTATCCAGGTCTTTGACCTCTCTCAGGTATTTGGACTATGTGGTCCTGTGCTTTCCTATGACCTGTCTCCCGCTAAGCCCCCAAAATGCAAACACTTCAGCTGATCATAGCTGTGTCAAGATCAGAGCAGCGTCTCAAATCCAGGAAAGAACAGGGTAAAACAAGTCCAGGGCTGTAGGAAGAGCAGACTATCATGGTGGGACAGTTACATTCCCATAAGGGCTACAATCAGTACACAAAAAAAATTTCTGTCTTACTCTCTTTTTTTCCTTTGCAATGCATTTTTTCATCTTGCAGTTTATTTATTTGTGGAGCCAGGAAGTAGGCTTCTTTGTGTATATCAGGCATTTTCTTCTGGAACCAGCAGAGAAACTTGGGACTTGATTTTGTCCCAGACACTGTACATAGACCAGGAAAGACTGCCGTCCGGCAGGGAGGAGAGAAAAATTCCTAAGAACAGATAAAACAGCTCACACTTGTATGATGAATGAGTATTTTGTTGACCAGGTTCAGGCTGCAAACAACTCTACAGCTGATTGGTGGGAGTTACGACAGTCAACAAGAATTATTATAAACACTTTTAGAGGACAATGGAATACTCCAGGTAGTTATAAATCTCTTAAGTCATACATTAGTAGAGAAACACCTGTTTTAGATAGCAACCCTGCTGCTAGAGGATGGAAGTATCTGTTTAGGTTGCAGCAGCAAAAGGTGGCAAGTTCAATAAATAAAAATAATACGGTAAGACCCTCAAGTGGAGTAAACCAGTGTAGCTTCATTGAAGCTGTTGGAACTAAGTCAATTTACAGCAGTAAGAATCTGGCTTATAGTCAACAGGGATTTTACAGAATGCTTAAAACCTCTCCATTTGGAGAGTTCTCCTCTGCCTTACGCCTGTGCACTAAATTGTATCCACACAAAAGTCCTCGATGGTATAATGAGGTAATTTTGGACGTGAGCGTTCATTATGTGCTTAGATAAATTAAGGGAAAAAGACCATGTCATTAGCAAAGTCTTAAATAAAAAAGGATGGAGCAAGGTTACCGAGTGAGAACTATTTAAATAAAATCAATCTCAGCCCTGGAGATTTAATGGGGAGTGGCTTTCTACGGAAAAGGGCTGATGGTGTGTTGATGCTGCATGTAGAAGCTGAGCGCTACGGCCATGAAAGATTAAAAGCAGGGACTGAGGTTTTTTCTAGGTTAATATTTCAAGCTTTCTAAATTTCATTCTGTGACATACCATGAATGCAGCCTTGGTTTCCAACTGCAGAAAAGCACTCTGATAAACACATATTGCTGGAGCAAATGAAACTGAAGGCTCATCCGGTTTTACTGTAGCACTCGTGGTATTAAGAGGGATTGTAATATAATCCTCTTCAATGAATAACCCTAACAGATGTTATCAGGGTTGCTCTGTACGAGCCGTGGACCTCTTGCTAGAACTCCCTCTGTGGAAGTCCAGTTCATAAATTGTCCTAATGGGCTGCCTGCCTCGTCCCGCTGCTGCAGCAGCATGAAAGGGAGGTGGTTACCAGCGGCCTTGAAAGCCAGCATTATTCCCATCTGGTTTGCATTACAATACTGCTAAATATTTCATGCTTTTTGTTTTACAAACAAATAAGAGCAGAACTAATCTTTTTGTTTAATGTTCCTTGATTGACGTTTGAGTGGGGAAAAAAAGTTTGGGGTTTGTTTTGATTTCTTTTTCTTCACTTCAGATCTTAACATGGGTCTGCAAAAGCTTTTAATGGAAGATAGAGCAGATCACCGTCGACTTTTCTGGTGGGCTTTTTATGGCACCATTGATACAGGAAAAGATACAGGGGAAATCCAGATGATGAATGTGCTGTTCAATCAGCTGGGATTTCTTTGCTTGCGAGGAGATAACTCGATGAAGTGCAAACAGAGACAGGGAGCAGACGTTGACTGCTTGTCAGCTATATACAGAGCTATCTCTGGCTGGGGCTGCTGGAAAACACAGCAGCTATTAGTACCCCTTTGCCCTTTCACAGCGCCCTGTCAGAGGGTCCCCAAGCACTGCAGCGAGAGCCATCCATTAAACCGCCGAGCGGCGAGTCCGTTTAATCACCCCCGCTTTACAGGGAGAGGAGTGGCAGCCCTGGGAGGATTCAGCCGGCATTTTAACCTCCCGGTTCCCTAAACTGCCGCTGAGGTGGATGAGCGAAGGCAGCTTCGGCAGCGGGTGCCTCTGCCCCAGCGGGACGGCGGTGACCCACCTCCACGCAGGGACCTTCACCCACAGGGCAGAGGTTGCGGGGGGGTCCGGAGCCCCCCCGGGATGCACAGTCTCCCCTCAGGCGCCCGCCCGGGGAAACACCAAAGGTTTCGGGCGGTTTCCTTCCAACCCAAAGCAAGTCCCGGCACAGAGCAGGGCCTCTCGGCTGGTACTTCTCCGCTCGAACGGCCACATCGGCTGGTTCATCTGGTGTTTGGACAATTATCTTCATTAGGGCGCCCATTGGGCTGCGTTAGCTGTGAGGCCTAATCACAGGGTGGGATGAAAGGTATGAAATGTCACTCAGGAAGGGCTAAATATTGAGAAAAGATAAATATCTACTCTTTCAGCCTGTTGCAGCTTGGCCCTGCAATGGGGTGGCGGTGTATCAGTGCGGTTAGTTAAATCACCATACTACATTTGACTGCATAGTAATATTTTTTATATCATGGCACAAACAGAAACAGGTTTGACCGATTCACTCTTGAGATGAATTCTCTACAGTTACTGTGGGATGAATTCTTCACTGATGGCTGATGCATCAGTCATCCCATCCCTTCCTCCTGTAACCCGCTGGCCTGAATTCAGAGACAAAAGTGAGTCTTGGGGACTGACCCTAACGCTTGCCTGCGAATAGGCTTTATGACTTACGCCGAACAAGACAGCCAAGCAGTAAAATTATATGCTGCTTTCTATATTATGTTTCTTATTTTTCTAGCATTTTCCTCCCAAGGATCTCAAGGCTCGCTGCAAGGTTTAACTAATTCTCAACAGTCATCTGTGAATTAAGTTCTTTTTGCTAATTACAACTGAAATACTACTGCCAGAGTGGAAGATTGCCGTTCTTGAGCATCTCTCTACAATAGCACACAATAGTTTCACTCAGGATTGTAAAAATAAATTGTAACTGCCGCAGTTCCTTGCATTGAATCATTTTCATTGTGGATTTTGACATTCCACTTAAAAAATTTCAAATCCAGGAATAGTAAATGCCAAGTCATAAAAGCTTAGGAAATGGGTTGAATCCAGAGTGCAAGGCAGCATTACAGTGTCTGATCTGCTGTCTCTGATAATACCCTCATAAGACAAGGGTCTCTTTTTTTTTCATTCCTGAACAAATAAATTGCAGTGTGTATGAAATCTCCAGAGGCCATCTGTGACTGTAATTCATTTACCCACCGTATTATGGAACAGATTTTTCCAGTGAGTTCAAAACTCGGGAAAGGGGGGAAGGGAATAGTATGATGAGAAGGATCTGTGATCCATATCTAAAAATAAAAATATTATTCAATTGTCATATTTGATGGATAAAGTGTCTGACGCACCAGGCGAAGCCATAGCAACTAGATAAATATGTTTAAAACATTTAATTTTGATACATTAAGAATGAGTTGGAGCAGGGGCTTATCGACACTGAAATTAAGCAGACGTTTCTAAGTTCCTAAAAGCCTCTGATTTTGTTTAGCTTGGAAGAAATTTTGCTGTAGATAACTTGGAATTGTAAGGGGAAGTTGGACTTGGTGCACAAAGGCGCAGCTCTGACAGGTCAGGACTAGCAATTACCTTTCTTCTTCATCTGTTATTTTCCAAGTGCCAGCAGCCCCTACCTGATTTGCGTTAGACCACACGAGGCCCCTCGGCAAACTTACAGACCCTTGCTTTCTGCTTTTAAATTGAAATTAGTATGTTCATTTATGACCTTAGCTGCTACAAAAATATTTTTATATATAGGGCGCTCTCAATATTTCTGTAGTGCTGTTAACATTCAGTAATTGTAATTAGGAGCACATCCTCATGCACAGCCAATGGGTTATGTGGCTGTAAGCATCAGATTTCCTCCCTGAGTAATTCCGAGGATGTCACTGAAGTTACAGCAGAAATGAATTCAGTCCTCAGTGGCTGACAGGGAGTGTTTACACTGTGTGTGAATCATGTTGGTACCCGCAGAAGGGTTTTATGTTCTGCATCAGGTCCTGTGTTTCTTCATAAAGTGATAACATGCAGAAGAGGGAAACAGCACAAACTTCTAAAAATTGTTTTCTGTAGACATCTGCCCAAGAGTTACAGCTG